GGGGGGGGGGGGGGGGGAAGGTTGACTGATTATCAGATATTTACATCAACTTTTGGTTAATTATGTAAATAAATACATATTAATTGTTCACATGGTTTCGACTTTTCGTTGGTTAATAACTTCCTTTGCTAAGCAACTCATGAGTCATTAGCATGTGGATATTATTATTATTATATAATTAAGGGGAGGCGGGAACTGAAGAGCTATGAATTAGTTGGATACGTGTGTGCGCGTTTTTTTTTTTTCTTTATATTAATTTTTTAAAACTTTTCTTGCATATGAAGTTATGAACTAGTTAATAAGGGGGAGAGAAGAGAGGACAGTGGAAATTAATTTCTAATTTATTGTGTGAAAGACAATAAATTACTAGGTTAATTTTAGTATTTTAATCTTGTAGATATGCAATTCGGTTAAGTTATTTCAATCTGATTCAATTATTTCACTTTATTTGGGTTAGGTCTATTGTCTCCCCCACCCTCTCTTTTGGGATTAGCAATCTTTTCAAGTAAATCGATAGATAGAGTGTTACTTATGAGCTTAACTAAGTAATTTTGACTCACATCCTACGTGTTAAGAAATTCACTAACAGCATGTTTGAAAAGTCATTTGGGATGAATTTGTTGTATAAGTGGGTGTAATTCAAAAGTTGTCATATTTGCCTTGCCAAAGAATAACTTGATCAGCATAAAATTAGGTATAATTAAAGAAATATAACTACTTTTTGTGATCCTCAAGATGAAGGTGAGAATTAGTGGTAATTATATGAGGTAATTACAAGCTAATGTAACTTTTATAATTTTCTTTTAGTTTTTTTAAATATATTTAGTATTATTCTTTTTGTAATATTTCTCTTATTCTCCTTTTTCAATGTGTTGCTTATGGTGTGCTTTCATATAAATTTATGACTTTTCATGTTTTGCTTCTTTTTTTTTAATTTAAATTCTCTTTATTTCTCTTAGCTGGTAAACAACAATTTCATATCTTACTAGCTTTCTTTTCTATTTCATTAGTACAAATCATTATTAAAAAATACCTTCTAAACTTCATATCTATCTTTTCATTATTTAAAAGTGCAACAAATCATAAATTTTATATTATATTCCTATGAGTTGGTAAAAGAATAAGATTCATAATTGAAGCTTTTATTATTATCTTAAATTAGGATGTTGGTTATCTAAAAGATAGTCAAGATACTGATTATTCTTTGCGATATTATTTACTAACTTATAATTATTTAGTACTTTTATTTTTTAAAATAATATAGTTTAGATACCTAGTTATAAATAATATTTAATATTTTTACATATTAAAATTTGCTTATTTTGTCTTTTACTGGTTTAATTTTCTAATCATTATAATAAACTTTCTTATAAAAAAAAAATACTTTCTAAGCTCTATCTACCTTTCTTATATTTATATATATGAGTTGATAAAAATTAGTTCCTTATTGAAATTTTTATTAATAAAATATTATTATTTGTAAGCAGTGGCATATCTAGGGGGGTTCCATGGGGCACGTGAACCCATGCTCCCCGCCCTAAATCATGTATAGTAATATTATATTTTTTAAAAAAATATTTAAATATATGTGTGTGCACTCATGCTCAAAGTATTATATGATGTGATGGTTATTGAGCGTACCTCTCTAGGTGAGGTTGTGAGTTCAAATCTTATGTCAATCTTATTATTTTTTCCTCTTTTTTTTCTAGAAGTAGACGCCCATGGGAGATGGGCATATCTGGTGTTATTTTGCGTATTAATTAAGTACTTTTTCTTTTTATTTCTTTTTTGTTTGATTAATTCTTTCAAATTTTTCACACATTGGAATTCATATTCTTCTTTTGTCACTATAAAATCTTATATAATTAAACAACATGTGTATATTAAAACTAGTAGCAGTGTATGATGTAGCATATAGTCAATGGGTTCAACTGATTTCAATATTTTCAACATGAAAAATAGATATAGATGTAAGAATATTACTATTTAAAAAACAAAAATTTGAACTTATAATTCCAAAAGTGTAATGGGTACGCAATCGTAAGAACTAAAGGTTGAACCCGTAAAATTTATATTCTGGATTCACTTCTTCTTAATAGTACACTCATCCTGCCAAAATCCTAGATTCGTCTCTATTTGTAAGATACCATTATTTTTATTATACTATTTACTAATTTATAATTATTTAATATGTTTTTACAAAAAAAGTTATTTATTTTAAGTAACTCTAATAAGCTAATCACATTCAAAGTATATAACAATATGCAAAGATAGAACATAAAAAGTTATGCACCCTATCTCGATTAAGCAAGTCTCGTGCATGTAGAGCGGCATATAAATGATATGTACAGTTTAAGCATGTAATAGACCAACATCCATACCAATGCCCCAAAATAACATATATAAAAATGATATGCATCAAGTAACATTTATATGAATATGTCTACGTGAGTCTATAATGTCTGTGCTTGATAAAGACTCAAACTTTATATCAGTTCGGTACTTTCCAAGTGTCCAATAATCCAGAAATTCGTCAGTTTCTCACAAACTTGTGCGTATACTACCGGTGAAATCCGGTGTTTAATAACTCTAGAGCGACGGATTCATATCCACATGTAACTGCACGGACAATTCAACTTGCACAACATTAATCTGCACGGAATAACTCAATGTTATCATAATAAATCGCATGGACAGCTCAACGTGCCAAATCATATCAATGCACAAGGACAATTCTGCGTGCCATAATCATATCAAATTGCACAGACAATTCAACGTGCCATAATCATATAAAATCGCTTGGACAACTCAACGTGCTATAATTATATCCGTGTGATAGATCAATATACACGATGTAATGCATATGAATAGTGCATGACTATCAATAAATCATATAATTCGACATATATTTAATCTATCATGTTAAACTCGCATGTGAAAAGATGCCTATCACATGATAGTAGCGCATAAGGATGCACAAATAGTCATGGCTGAGGGAATAATAATGATTAATATGTATGACTAGCAAGTAACTCAGGTACATACATGAACCTATCACGTTAATTTAGCATGACAAGAATGCTCAAGTAGGGGCGGCTCGACATAATTGGGGCCTCAAACGTAACTAAAATTAGAGGACCAAATTTTTTATAATCGATTTCTTTAGTAATTATTTTTCAGTTAATAATATAGCTAGCTGATTTATTCACTCTTGAGATGTTGACGTTGATCTTATGTATTTTTTTTTTTTTTGAAAACTTTCTTTCCGTTGAGTCAATGGTTAGGCATTTAAAAAAGAATAAAGTCTTTTTATGTAATTAAGTATATCGATTAGAGTATTATTTTTTACTTGTACTATTTTTCTTAAAAATTTTAATTCAAAATATAAGTCTAAACCATCCATATTAGATTGACTATTATGCTTTAAGGATCATCAAATGTTAACACAATATCTTTTTGTTATGTTCTCATCATTTAGCAATCTCAAACTTTTAGAATGATACTTATAGGTTTTAGCGGTCATAATGTAAAAACTGCAAAATGAAGGTTACATCAAGCTTAAGAAAATCATAAACAAATGTTTACTTTATTCGAGAGGAATTTTCCATAAGAAAAAATTAACATATAATCTTTCCTTTAAAAATTGGGACCCCTCGAAATTGGGGGCCCAATACATATGCCTTATTTGCCTAGGCTTTGAGCCGGTCCTATGCTCAAGTAGTAATGCAATCAAGCACAGCATGCCACAAGTAAAAATATGTAACAAGAAAAGGTACAAAAAGGCCTAAAAATATCACCCCAAGCATGAAAAATCTTGGTATCCGTATTTAAATACGCTCGTCACTTCGTATATATTATCCCAAATACATAGCACATAGCAACAAGATCATTTTTAGAAGAAAAAAAAATTGCATCTAAGTCAACCAATATACTTACCTCTATCCCGAGTTATTCTTTAAAATTTGTCTTTTCTTGCTTCATATTCATCAAACGAGTTCAATCTAGCCCAAAGAATGCTCTAAGATGTCAAATAAAGTCATAAGACTCAATTATCTAAGCAAAAAATATGTTTTGGACAAAGTCAACCCCGAACCTACATAGTCAAACCTGAAATCAAAGGCAAATCTTGTTGACCCATAATCTCAAGAGTTCAAATGTGTAATTAGATTTTCAATCCTAGTCCAAATTGATATTCAACTAAAAAAGAGTATTTTCTATTCTTTTTAAGTCAAAAACCCTCATTTTCTCTTTTGAATCCTTGATTTTAAGGTAAAATTGATGATATTCATGTTATAATCATAGATTTGAGAGGAAATCACTTATCCCATCATCATAGATGAAAATCGATTTAAGAAACGCTTCAAGAGAGCTCCTTAACTCCCAAAATGGTAAAATGAACGCTAAGTATGAATGAGGCTATTTATACTAGTACTGAAAATGGTTAAAATTACAGAAAATGGCTGAAATTACTACTGGTGCAAATTTTATTGTTGACTTTATTGATTTTTGCCTTAAAATCCTTCCCTAAACACCTCGGAATCTCACTCGAGAACTCTTCAAACCATGCCACAAGTCTAAATACACCAACTTATTCAAAGACTCAAAACACAAAGCAAAACGCTATAAATCAAATAGATAACTCAAATCAACTTAAGAATTCTTAAAATTTCAATTTTCATGCAATAGTGTCGAAATGCACCCGAACTCCTTAAGTCATAATCCCCACATATGTGCAGGTCCAAAATTATCATATAAACTTATTAGAAACTTCAAATCATGAATCTAAGCACATATGCTAAAATTGAGGGTGTAACTTTATTTTAGGCTTTAAACCTTCCAAATAGCAAGATAGCATTCCAAATCATTTTCGAACCTTTTAGGAATAGAGCCACACATATTCGCAAATTATAAAACACTAAATGAATTTATAGAAAATCTCAAATCAAAGAGTAAAGT